TGTGCAGAATATCTGATCTTTTCTAAGTGTTTAAAAAGTGATTTTGTCCTCTGTAACCGGTTGAAATCGAACCCGAAACCCTCCTTCAGTATTACCGTCCTGCATCCAGTCTTGTATAATGCCAGTTGATGGTCAGAATCACATGCAGAAACGTATCACAATGATTGTGTTGTTTCACGACAGTAGATTTCAGGAAACATCTTTTAACGTTTTCTGTTAAAACTTTGTTACATTTTAGGAACAGTCAATTTACTGCATTTGTAAGATTTGAGGTTTTCACGGCGGTTAGTCGGAAGATGGCTGTCTTCAGGGGTGTAGCTCCGTGTAATCTGGTAGAAGCGACTCATCGCCTTGTTGATGGAGGCAGCATGGACCTCTGAAACGTTGATAAACTTCTACCAGACTACACCCAGAAGACAGCCACCTTCTTCAGTTTACTGCATTGTTTGAAAATAAGTATCTGTTTCTTGGTATGCAATGAGCAGTTGCCAGGGATGCGAATGCTGGACTTGAAATGCATTTCTTGTAGATAAAAACTGTAGGGCTGTCGTGTTCCTGTGGAGATAAGATATCACATTTACTGCCATGCTGGTTCTGCCAGTGACAAACAAAAGACAGACCCCGCCCGCCTGTCTCAGCCGGGGTCAGGGCTGTTGGAGATTGCAGTTATTTTACTTTTCTACTAGAAGATGTGTCTGATATTGTTGTTAAAAATAAGTGGCTTTGATCCATCTTTATCTGTTACTAGTCTGTGCAATGTGAAACTATTCAGTGTCCAGGTCTTCACGTTGTCCGTGCCTGCGAAAGGCCTCGTGCTTCGTATGTCGAAATATGTCTACACACAGCACTTCTTTTGCACCAGGATGGCTGTGTTATCGGTTGAAGCGCCGTGTAGTCTGGTAGAAGTTTATCAACGTGTCAGAGGCCCATGTTGCCTCCATCATCAGGGCGATGAGTGGTTTCTGTATCTTATCGTATCGCTGATGATGGAGACAGCAAGGACCTAGGAGATTCGAACTACTACCGCTTATGCCCTTTGACAGCTTGGCACACTTGAATGGGTTTGTGGGTGCTCTTGAGAATTTGGAAATTTTCATAATTTTTGTTAAGTCACTGATTGCAGAAAACGTGATTGTCGCTCTACCTAGAGCCGAGAAGTGCTAAATGTTTGGATTTTGATTATATGTCATAGTTGGGGTGTAAATAACAGTGAAATTTTGTAAGAAAATGACGTATAGGCCTATTCATTCTTTGTGTACCGAAACATTGTTTTGGAAAATGTCTTAACGTAATCGAATGATTTTAGTTAGCATTTTGTGAAAGATTAATACTTTGCCCAGTATAAATTTCAAGTTTTTTCTAGTTTCCTGCCACCGAAAAAGAGTTGACTGTTGTTGTGTTAGCGGATCGGATAAACGTACAGCCCAAACACATTCAAAATAAAACTTGGTTCCAAATACAGCAGATTCTGGGAATGGTCTCCGTTGTCCCAGACTCTTTCTGGAACTTCTGTGAAAATTGTACATTCACACGGCGAAGTTCGTGGGGAGCGGGGAAATTGTCTCACTTTTTAAATATTTTTGAATATTTTAATTCTAAACTTTTTGTTTAACACTTATGCGTGAATAAGGGGGACGCGGGTTGACGTTGGCGTAGTGTCCTCGAACCTCGTGTTTCTGTCTCGGAGTATGCTTACTCCATCCAGTATATGCTGTTCCGTGAACGCACGTCACCTGTAAGTGAAACCCAGCCTTGTCGTAATATAAAATTGGTTGACGGTCGATTTCACCATCGTGAACAGACTAAGGGACCAAATTACAAAAATTCACTCGGTAGCGGAATAACGTAATTGCAGATCACGAGTTATTGTTGTGTTTTATTCTTTCAAGTACCGATTTCGGAATTGTGATTTGAGGATTTTGTCGAGCAACGATCGAATCTCAGTGAGAGACATTTATAGAAATATTATGAATGTGTAATATAGAAGAGCGATCACTATTTCACACTTCATGGTAAATTTCTGGTAGCCTGTCTGAATTTCAGCCAGTGCATAACAGTCTCTGATCGAGGTATTTTGTGGCTTCTCTCAGAACTTGCATGAAAATGTCAGGGTATTAGTACAGTAAACCCTCTTCCAACGCGGGTGTGTCCAACGCGAATTCGATTATACGCTTGAAAATACTTGGGAACAATTATTTGACGAACGCGGAAAATCCGATTATACGCGGTCTGCCAAACACGCTGTAGTTGCATACCACTGCTGCTGTTTATAAAGCTAAAGACAGCTTAGTTTTTGCGTATGGAAGAACTTCTATAATAAACTTGTACGCTTAACTTTCCGATGATATTTTATTATATTACACAGTTTGTATATAAATAAATGTCATGTAGTACATTTAAGATTTATTTTCTTTGACTTTCCACTCCCGCGTTCCCGTATCCCCATTAATATAAAATATTGAGTTTGCCCCGGGCGGATTCACCGAGGAACGTATCCTCCGCGTTAGACGAGGGATTACCGTACTTCGAATTGCGTCGTAGTCCTCTGTCCATTTTCCAGTACGCAATCTGTTGATTTGTTATAGCGTCGTTAAGTAACAAACACGTAGTGACTTAAAACGCTTAGGGACACTGCAGCATATGGTATGAATTGGAATATGTGTTGTTAACATTAATTATTTTGTTCCCAAGAAAAACGTTGAATGTTAACCTTCATTATTCTTACGTGTGTAAAACGAAAACCTAACCTAAAAACCGTGTCGCATCATTCGACCTCCTGAGCTTATTACTGGATTTGGTGAAATTTAGTATGCGAGACGTTTAGTAAATTGTTAAAATATACAGAACCGGTTTTGCCTATTTTGCAAGCCTATGTATGTGACATCTGGCATCTCTCATTAAAATAAAAGGTAGATCGTGGATGTTTAAAAACGGAGCTAACGAGAATATTTTGACATAAGAGTGAGAAAGTAACAGTAGGACAAAGAAACGGCATAATTCAGTTCTTTATAACTTGTTACTAGTTACCAATTACTGTTAAATAACAAAAGTCGAATCGTAACTAGAGGTAAGATCCATCTCTCAGCACTACTGATTACTGTTGCTCATACAAGTCTCCTTTGATTTCTCGTACTGTACATCCATCTCTGATCGTGTCCATGTCCTTGGCAAGGAGACCGCCATGTTGCTAGAAATAAATTAATGACCACAATAGCCTATTCTTGCGAAGGCTATGTAGAGCTATTCAAGCAGTTACACTAACTGTTATTCAGTTCACAGTACGGACAGGTTTTATATCAGGATAAGTCAGTAATTTCTTTAAATGCCAGTGGTAACTGTGTGCCACCTGTTATAATAATCCGTAATTCTGCATTTCATTTTGCCAACAGAGCGTATTTATGAGCTTCCTGTGATTTTCAGACTAAATAGGGCTTGTTTCCCCAAATAGCGTTTACGATTTTATCATTGTAATGGAGAGGTGTTGTGTTTCCTTTGCTGCAGAGACTACGTCTGTAAATATTATTTACACGAACTTCGATTTGTAAGGGTACAGCTTTTCGTCATGTTTTAGAAGAATGGATTTGTTGAGAGGAATCCATAATTGTATCGTGTGTTTTACTTTGTATAGCAGAATATAACGATTTATTAAACTGCTTAAAGAAGTGACTGTGTTGTTAAGAGCGTTTACTTTGGGTCGTTTTTCTCAGCGTTAGTGTGGTGAAGGATTTTCCATCCGTGTCTAAAGGCACGGTCGTACTGATGATGTGTTACACACAAAATATTCGAACAGCCAAGAACGCCATTTTATACAAACAGCGAATTTAATATACGAAGTTTATATTTATATGCAGATAGGAAGTGTAAAGCTTGTGTATGCGATATTCCATTTATCAGATACATAGCTCATATACGTGTATGAAATTAATGAACGTTCTTCAACCAACATGGCAGGAGGATAAAATCATTTGAAACTCGCCGTGCCTTGCTGGTTTGACTCTGAAATTTTTCATGCGTCTTCAACAATTACAAGAAACTGGTTTATTGACTGCATATTTATACCGTAATATATATGTGCAATTTTAAACATTCATTAACATCTTTTCATGTTACAACATAAAAAATGTCCATCGATAGACGTGTTATATGTTCTGTTTTATTCCAGTTCTCATACTTGTTTTATTATGTTTAATTCTCATTACACATTTAGAATTTAATGAAACTTCGCATTGTTCGCTCCAGTTTAAAATTTAAATGGTCCTTCTACTGTTTGTGTGTAATCAAATTTACCTCGCAAAGAGGGACAGAATAGAGGCGTTACCAGTATATTATAATCAAGGAAATGACGTCATTAAGTGAATCATGAAGTTCCAAAATTATCTGCTCCAAGCGCTGGTGTACAGCATGAGATCGCAGCGCTTGTAGTGCCAACGAAACGAACTTTGTTCTTAGTGGGAATAATGTGATGGAGTCAAAATAGGTTATATAGATACTCCGCATTCTTAAATGGCCTATTCTGTTTAATCTGCAAATAAAGAGTTCACTGTTCTTATGGAACCTGGTGGTTTATCACCATCACAACAAATTCACACACCACTTCTCTAAGATGTGTTTAATTTCAACCATCTTCTCATTTGCGACAGTGGTGAATGATCCAGTTTGGATAGCAGTGTGCTGCTGGACTAAATATGTAACACAAACAGCGGCATAATATTATTATTAAATAGAATTGCGTTGCGATTGTTGGGCGAGGTAATAATTTTGCATTTCCGCACGACCTGGCTTCTAGACCAGGATTCGTCACTACTTGGTGCCTGTAATTGTCTCTTCCCATGTGATTTTATTACCAGCGGCTTTTGTGTGTTTGAACATACAGGTATATTCCAGAGGCACGACTTGCCTTTCTAAACCAGTGCACCCAATCGGCCAACACCCTACAGTTCCTCCCACTTCCAGGACTTTGTCGTTATCGATACACAAAAATTAATCGTAACTCGTTGCAGGACGAGGTTCTGGCGATCTCCGAGAAGGTTGTTTTGCGGGTTGAGGACTTGCTGGATCGGATCGTGGAAGATGTCTCGTGGTGCCGGGGTCTTGAGGCTGTGTGGGAGGGAGAATGTCTGCTCCAGACATCCATCAGCGAGGACATAAAGTCACACAGCAAGATGCTAATCGACAGTGCCCTAGACTTCCAGGACATCCTTAAAGAAAGGGAACAAATAGGTAAGAAAGAAAATTTGCAGCTCGCCATTTAACAGTCTCATAACTAATGAGGATCTACTTAACATGCGGTAGGAATTTAACCGACGAAGACTGGGTAAACGGAGATCATAAGAACAAGGCCCTAGGCAAAGTTATAAACAAGGCGAGATTTTTAATATTATCCTCGCATCTATAGGTTTTCCGATCGAAACCCAAAACCTGTATGTAATCTTCACCTTCCTGCAAGTGCTACATGCCACGCCAATCTCACCACCCTTGGTTTGTTCATCGTAATGATTATTTGTTGAAGAGTGCTACATGTTCCACTTGGTGTTCACAGCTGATGACTTCGACCCAGAAGTTTCCGCGGTAGTGGTGCTTAGTTTCCCGAGGTACTGTCGATACCGAGGTGTCGTGAAGAGACTTGAAGGCGTCGCCAACAAGTGGCTTAAGAACACTCTGGTAGTGGCCCTAGGGGGCTTCGTGGTGCCCTGTCGTAACACCCACATCCTCTTCTGCAAAGATACCTTCGATTACCCCGACCTAGAGGGCCACGAACTGCTCTGCAACCACCTTGGTGAGTTATTCAGTTTTTTTTTACAGCTGAACAGTAATATTAATAGATTAGATTAATGATCCAATTAGGTTAATACAGTTCATTCAATACAGCATAATTGCGTTGAATGAGTCTGTGGAATGTTGTTCAGTCTACACACCGAGTAATTTTGTATTAATTAACTCCAAAGGATTATCATAGTGAAGTCCTGCATAGTAAATATAATAATTATAGTATGTATAGACTGAAGAATATTTAATTAAAAGATTGTCACCGCCAGAATTTCCCTAGAGAGATCGTGAGAGCCACGAGACCCCATTGAGGTCCTCCGGATCGAAAATCGAATTCTGGACATCTCGAATACGAAACGTCGACTCAGAGTGGATGGATAATCTGATAAACATAAACCCATACGAAATTCGCTTCCTACTTTGAAGATTTTAATGATTACGATAGGTGTCCTAGCGATTTCGAAGTCGTGTGTGATGGATGGCGCATCACATGCGTGAGAGTTTCTCACGCTCTTGCG